CTGGGCTTGTTCAGCCTGAAGAAGAGAAGGCTGCGAGGGGACCTAATAAATGCTTATAAATATCTGAAGGGTGGGTGTCAGGAGGATGTGGCCAAGCTCTTTTCAGTGGTGCCCAGTGACAGGACAAGGGGCAATGGGCACAAACTGAGGCACAGGAAGTTCCGTCTGAACATGAGGAAGAACTTCTTCCCTCTGAGGGTGACGGAGCACTGGAACAGGCTGCCCAGGGAGGTTGTGGAGTCTCCTTCTCTGGAGATATTCAAGACCCACCTGGACAAGGTCCTGTGCAGCCTGCTGTAGGTGACCCTGCTTCGGCAGGAGGGTTGGACTAGATGACCCACAGAGGTCCCTTCCAACCCCTACTATTCTGTGATTCTGTGTGATTCTGTGATTCTATTCCAGCAAAGACACTTACACCTACTTGCCCCAGTCTTCAGGAAAAATTACTATAGTATTACATTAGGAAAGTTGTGTTGTCCTTAACACATCTCTCGTCTGGGCTGTCTGGTTAAACCACAGCAAAGCTTGTTAGTTATATACAGTCTTAGAAACAGTAATTTGAAGAATAATTCACTTCCCAATTCGTCAGTTTTGGATGGGACGTCAAGAGAGGGTGGGAGGGCAGAGTTCACTGCATTCCTGATTCTCCACTGCCATGTACTGCATATAGCTGTACACACTTCCAAGGGAGGATACCACTCTAATTAAGCTTTGCTTTCTACCCATTCTGTATCTGCTAAGGGGTCAAGTAAAGTCCAAAGCAATGCAAACTTGAAATGCAAGCTTTCAACAAGACAACAATGCAATGCTGACCACTTTTAGTGATTAACCTGGGAGGCTTATCAGGGACAAATGGCTAGAATGAAAGAATTTTATGCTAACAAACCCCACCATATCTAGCAGTCACAGTTAGTATTTCATGTATTTCACACTATTCCTGCAAGACACCCACCTCCTCCCTGCCTGCTGTTTAAAGCCTTGAATTTCATCACCCCTAAAAATGAGGGTGGGAAGAGAACATGCTTAGCACATAGAACGAAAGCCAGTTTATGTTTTAGGACTTCTTCCTCACACTTACCTACTCTTGTAGGAAATATATCCTCATTGTTGATTTGCAACTCAATCCAGTCCATGAGAAGATTCATATATTGGGGTGCTGGCAATGCTGTGGGCTTCTTGTACTTCATGTCATCCTGCCACCGGTACTCATACTTAGGGCCTCCAGACATCACCGGGCAGGTCCTCTCTGTGCAGAACTCACAGATAGTTCCATAAATGAGGTTGATCCTGTTGAAGAAGTCAACAACATGGACAGCCACCCAGTCATTTTGGTCTTCTCCGTTGGGCAACTGCACAGCTGCTTTCAAGTCCACGCCTGAGTTCAGAGAGGCCTGCGCTCGTTTGTGAAGTTCAAACCTCTGGGTTCCAGGCTCAAACTTGCGTTTCGGGCGGAAAGTCTTATCTTTATTAAAGACTTGCTTGAGTGCTATGGACATGTCTGCGAATCTTCTGCTCTGTAGCAGCTGGGAGAAAAGCACGGCTGAGATTTAATGCAGGTATCTCAAAAGAGTTGCTCCCTATCACAGGTCCTCCAGGCCTTGCTCTTTTTCTTAGAGATGCTTGTATCAATTCAGAGCAGTTTGCTAGGGCTTCCTCTTGAAAGCCTTCCCAAATGGCTTCACGTCCCTAAGGATACGGAAACAATATACATTAGTGTTGAGCTCACGTCTGGCCCTGTCTGTCTGTTACTGTTTTACCACAATTTTCTAGTAACTATGAGCTGAAAAGCAAACATGTAACAAGCTAGACTTAGAACTTGGCCAACCCCTATCCTGATGAACTTCTAAAAGTAAAAAAAAAAAAAAAGACACATTTCTTTAAGTATTAAGGAATTAACTTATCTATTCTTTTTAAATATCTACCCAAATAGAGGCTTTAAAATTATCATAAAGGTGGGAATTCAATAAATCTTGTATAATCTTCCCATCTTTAGATGATTTTTAAAGTATCTTTTCATTTTGCTGCATTTTTACAGTGATAGCATAACACACATAAGGTATGTATAAATTTAGTAGACAAAATACTATGTGACTAGTTAGAAGTCTTTTCTAACTGCTCCTAAAGTGACCGATGTTGCCTCTAAGCATTCACAATAATTTCAGTGCTCTTCTCTGCAGGAAAAAAATCCCCAAGCTAGATTTTTCCATATTTGTTCTCTACTTTAATTAACAAGCTATTTGTTTTTGCAAACCTCATAGACCCTAGTTAAGAGGGAAACCTACACTACTGCACAGATATAATTCCTGTTTCCCACAGAACTGTACAGAGATTGTTACTTTCCTTAACCACATTCAGGAATTCAGCAGTGGTCTTAATTTTCTACTGGATTGTGTAGAATGATTAGAAAGCAATAGTGAAGCTGCCATTTTCTTTATGGCTCTATTCATCTTCTCTACAGGGGAATACTTGGCATTGTCACTCTAACAAAAAGAAGAGCATGGACTTTGTGTCGTCCCATCTAACCTACTCTGGCAACAAAGACTGGTTTTAATGGCCAGGATGGTTGAAAAAATAAATTACTGCATTAGAGCCTTGTTGTTCTTATATATACACAGGCAGAAGAGCATGATCATCAGTAAGTGCAGGCAATTAGTTGTTGATAGGGTAGATACAGGCTATCTCAATTCTATTTTTGTTTTAGCACTGAAAGTTTTATGATTAAAGATGGAGAGTAAACATTTCATGCTGTGCATTATTTAATGTCATATTAAATAACGTAACAATATAAAATAACACAGTATGTTTTGAATTTGCACAGCACTGTAAAAATCCTACCCTATCAGTGGCTGATGAATTCTCATGATGGGATTATGGATGCTCCACTGTCTTCCTTAACACAAATCATGTGCATGAAAATTTTACTAGGCTGTGTGTGGAAAGCACTAAATTGTTCTGAAGATAGTTGCCCAAAGCTTTGCTGAGGGGCAGAAAGGAAGAGAAAAAGGTGCTTCTTTTTTCTTAAGCACTACAAGAAAGCAGAATGTACCTAAAAGAAATCTGGTGTGCTAGACCCCAGCCCCACACAATAGCCTGTAAATGCCATGGAACACCCTCTCCCAAATAGCTGAAAGATTAGCATCCAGCCAATTTGTCAACAAGCAGCAACTAAACAAAAAACAGCAAAGAAGTGATTATTTTTCCTTTTGCTGATGGCATGATGGAAGGATATCCCAATCATGAGTTTATAAACATTCTTTCTGTGCCAGCAAAATACGAGTTCAGGGATGAACTCCAGGGAGACTATTGTTGTATCTGACATGTCCCTTGGAGTAATGTTCAAACACAGAGATCCTGAATGTTCAAATCCAGAGATCCTGAAACCTGACAAAGCTTGCCGAAAGAAGACTTTAAACAAAACTAGCCGTGGAACAATTTAGTTAAGTGTCACTGGCAGGAAATGAAGGCACCTTAGAGAGACAAGTTTGGCCTACAGTTTGTTGTTTGTTACGAAGATCCATAACCTCTAGCTTTCAAATGCTCTGTGGCAGTCAGCTGTTTATTTAAAAGCCTTTCAAGGAATAGGTGAGTATTGCTCCACAGACTGAGCTTGCGACAGACACACTTTGAGATGGCATGGAGCCAATGCCCTAGTTTGCAATAACAAGGATGCTAGCTCCGGAGTTTTCCAGCTCAGGTTAACTAATTTTTTCCCACTTTAATATATCCAGCACTCTCATGTGGCTGCTTTGACTCCCTTCCTCATCTGTAAATATTCACCAGAACATGCAAGGAGTTTTTATTTAAAACAACAAGCTGAGCACCAAATAAAACTCATTTTCAAAAGACACATTTTGAAGCGCAGTACTCACTGCTGTTAAACCTTTTCTAAGAAAACCAAAAGACACCATGCATAAAACCAATTAATGCAGAGAAAAAACAACCAAAATATTCAGCAAACAACTCATTATCTCAAGTCTTCTGTGTACCAGGAGCCGCATGTTGAAATTCTCTGTGGAAGCATATATACATCTTGGTCAAACCAAACACAAAGACCAATCCAAAAGATTACTATGCAGCCAAATGAAACTGCTTGCTAACCTACTAAGGCAGAATCAGAACAAACAAGAATTTCCTATACATTTCCTGTCTGGAGAGTCGTCTGTTCAGTGTCTTGCAATAAAAGCTAAGACTCTTTCATCTTTGTATCACTTCACACAATACAAAACTGTGTACTATATTTGAAAAGCTGGACTGTAGAAGTCAAACCCACTGTTTAGCTTCTCTAAGGGATTTAGCTCTGCTAAGAGCTGATTTTTTTCCTCTCTCTTAAAATGTCACTGAAGGCTGTGCAAAGCCAGGGGATGGATAGACCTGATTTCTCATGCATTTTCACATACAAGAACATAGAACAGAAAAGTGTATGACCTGAATTTCACAGAAATATTGTGGTGAATCAGCCTTCTGAAATATTTTTTGCATTGTGCTTCCTGAGGGTATTTGCTGTCTAATTAACCCTTGTCTTCACTCAAAAGCTAACAGAAATGAACAAAGAAATAAACAAGAATTTTGAGACTCATCCCCTCACTTCTGAAACAGACTGCTTTCCTGCAGTTTCCTGCAGGTTACGCAGCTGTCCTTACTCCTCCCACTCAAGCAACCACCTCTGTTAGGCTTTTCTAAACATAGACCATCACCATTACTTTCCTGGAATAAAGAAGCTTTCACTTTACTCACAAGAGACCAAAGAACAGGCTCACCTGATTTTCAGCAGAGATTAAACACAGACTCTTTAGGTTTGAATCCTTCAGAGGCTGAAGCTAATGCGAAAGCTCTACCCAGAGTCTCTGGGCTCTAAAAGCATCTGTACTGCTTAGGCAACAAAGTGGTGTTAGTTAATGGTAGGATGGCCACTCCTCTGCTTTGGACTGAATCACTAAGCCACTGTGGAAACTCATTCACCTTTAGACTTCCAGGATGTTTCTGCACTGTGTTTGCATCAACAATCAGTGATGCGAGGTTTGTCATTCCATCCCAAATCACATAGAGTCAATTAAAACTGTAGTGTTGGACTTACAAAGCAAAGCTATTGCTTCAAAATTGCACAGCATTAGCAAAAGGAAAAATCATCAGACAACCTCAACAACAAATGGTGAGCAAAACCTTCTGACTTTTAAACCACTAAGAATGTAACTTGGCTTGCTGGCCACCACTTTCGCTTCCATGACAATTTTCATCTGACCAGACTGAGAAACGCTCCCACTTTTGTTATCTCAATTGGTCTTGGCAGAGTTACTTCAGAGATGAAACACTCTGAACAATGTTGCGGTACTGGTCAGATTGCATCATAACTCCGTGAAATCTGTGGTACAGTAGCACCCACTCTCCTTCCATGTGAAATTCAATTTGACTATTACTAACAGATATTTTCCAGTCACCTCTCATGTCATAGCAACGTCAGCAGAACTGCTCGTGACTTATACATGTGTAAAAGGCGATAGACACCAGCTTCTGATCTTTCATGACAGGTCCTAACTATACAATGGTGCATAAAGAATGGCATTGTGGCTCATGGTGTTTGGTTTGATGGTATACAGAGCCAGTGTTCTGGATGCTCTTCTGAACTAAACACTCAATATATGTCTGTCCTGCTATGGGCAGCTCAGATACGTAACTCCTTCCAACACTTCAGCTTCTCTTTCTTTCTTTTCAGAGCAAAGAATTTCTGAAGATATGTGAAAGTCACCAACAGCTTCTCCTGAAGAACTATTCCATGGCATGAATAATGTAGTTGGGTGAATACCCTTGCTGGCAGGACTATGACGGAGGATGGTAACAGCAGATTTGGAGATGATCTCAGAGCAGAGAACCAGACCCACAAGCTTCATTGATGGTGTCAGCACCACAGCAATCAATACTGTCCCCAGCCTTATGCAGAAACATGCACATATAGAGACAGCAACTCTGTCTAAATATCAGGTGTACCAAGTCAACATATAGAAATAATAAACCAGTCCTACCCATGCAAATACCACTAAAAAAATACCCACAACAAACCACACACTATGATCACCACTATGTCTGAGTCAGTGCTGAGTTAAAAACATACCGTATCCTTTTGTCATATACTTTCTACTAAATCACAGACAATAAAAATGTTAAATGACACACTGTTTATAAACACACATTTTTCTTCACAGCACTCTAGTGAGCATTAGCAAGCTTTAGCAGGCTGCTAGTAAGGTAGCTGGTATAATTCCCTTTTCATTAATCAAAAAAGTGAGAAGATATTACTTCTCCAGCATTAAACACACTGTAAGATGTCTATCCAGCAAGACACTGTCTGAAAACCAACTCTGCAGCAGCTCATTTTTCTTTCCAAAACATAAGTCTACACCTCGAGCACTTGCACAGTCTGGTCAAAAGGCAGCTAAAGCCTGTAGGAAAGCATACATTTGATCCAAATCCCAATAAGGTTAAACATTCTGTAGACTTCTCA